AAACTGAATACAGATATTTCAAAACAAATTTGTTAAAAATATGTCTTAGTTTTTGTAAGACATCAAAGACTAATACAAACACATACTCTGATCTTAAGTTAATGGTGGTTCAAGGAGTCCACTTAGCTCTTAGTTGAATTCAGCTGTAATGCCAGAATAGGAACATAATAATGAATCAAAGGATCAAATAGCACTGCTCTAGTGCACTGGGTGAGTTTTTGTCACTTGTTTTTACTAAATTTCCCTGATTCTTTCCTGATTCATTCATCTATGGACCGATCTAACTACGACCTATTCCTGGCAGGCATCTAATTAGTCTGCTATGAAATGTAAGTCTTGGATCGGGATTTGCTTGGATCAGGATTCGCTTCCTTCAGGAATTCTACAAATCTCCAGATTAAAATGAACAAATTTGTAGATAATTGGAAATTGCACTGCAAAATATTTATTATTTTCTTCTATCCATTCATGTTCTGAATCTCAAGTAGCATTTCAGAGAAAGATTTAACAAGTATAGATATTTCATACATGCGTGATCACTTCTAAACCCGCCCTACCATTGGCGGCCAGGCTTTCAGTCTCTCTGCCCACTCCCAATCATTTTATATCAAGTCTGTTGGAAAATAAACAGGTATAGATTCTTGGGAGAAGGTGACTTGGGGGACTTCATATAGGTGTACAAAGTTTTAAATGGGGTAGCAAAAGAAAACCCAGGTCAATACTTTAGCATCTATCAAGGTAGTAAAACAAACAGACATAGGTTTGGAGCTGCAAAAGGCAATTTCAGAACAGATACCAGGAATCAATGACTGGAACAGGTTGTCGAAAAGGTTGAGGCCAGGACAATGAGACTCATTTAAAAATCAGCTTGATGCAGTGATGAGGGGATGATGAGATGGGTGTTCTCGAAGGATGAGACTGGATGGGCTGAAGGGCCTTTGTCATCCAGACCAACCTTGTGATTTTGTGGACTTTGGGTGTAAGGGTATGTGAGTACAAGGTTCAGTTGTGATGTCCATCAGGCTGCCCATGTGATGAAACTATTTCCTGGATGGGGAAAGTGTGAATTTCATATTTGGCTAAGATCATCATGGCTATAAAACTAAAACATCACATGGAAAAAAAATAATTAAAAGCTTCTCCAGCAGCTGGAATTTATATTAAAAAAAATCAAAGACGGAGCCTTGTCTGAGAAAAAAGCAAGTGACAGAAAACCACTATGTGGGAGGGATGTGCTGCCACCTAGTGGTCATGTGGTTTTAAACACCAAACAATCACTAATTTTGTCCTTGTGATAATTGGTACTAAAGCTAATCACCGCACGACAATAATAAATATCCTACTGTGTTGGACATTTTCCCTGTTGTTATTCACCTCCAATTGGGAACTGAGACTCAGTTAGCAGCTTTGACTGAGATTCCTATGTCTGCAATATTCGCCCCCAAAGTAAAACAGAGGGTAAAAAGGCTATTTATATTTTAAAAAACAACATATACTTTATTTATAATTATAATCTTTGTCGCTTTCTGTCATTTCTATTTACACTTTATTTGAACTCTTTTTCTATTTATTCAAACATTTCTCTAATTATTGTAAATGTTGAAATCTGTCTCTTCTCTTTCTTCGTTCTTTCTTCCAGTTTCCATCATCCATTTACATTGCAAACTAAGAGTAACCCTATTTTATATATGCCAAGTTTGTAGCCAACAAAAGAGGTAGACACTAAAGTTTGAGGTGGTCACCAATACGGTTCTATTATGTCCCAAATGATCTTTGCTCTCTGCATATTTTCTCAAGTTGAGTTTGCTTTTATTTCCTTCAGCTTGCAATCTCCAGCATTGTCTAATAATATAATAGCAAATCATTTGACATCTGTGAGGCATTATATCAGTGTGAAAAGGTTTGCATTTTTCTCATTGCATTTTTCAACCAGATCAACTGGCATATATATCTACAATATATTTTATTGTAAGTATCATTTATTAAATCACAACATTGACTTTTTTGAAATTGTATTTCTCCCCAGTGGGCATTATTCATGCTATTCACACAATGACTTCATCACAGTGCTGTCATCACCTCACTACAATTGGCCAATAGACAAATGTAGAGAAAAATAAATAAAATAAAAATCTGCACAAAAAATCATTTTTGGTTGAACTTATTTGTTTGGCCACAGAAGTCTAATCAGACCCCATCTTCAAGCGCCTAAAACAGAACTGTAATTAAGACAAGTTATTCAACAACAACAACAACAACTTGCACTCATATAGGGCCCTCCACGCAGGGCAGTGTCTCAGAGTCATATTTACTGTTCACTCCCAAGAAAGCAACATTTTGTGATTTCTTCCAACAACCATGACCCAACTGAGAACTGGTAAAACTTACCCCACCACAGTTTAACTCATTGAGTGTTTGAAAATAATTAACCAGAGGAGAGCAATGAGATAAGAAATTCAGTTTTATATTTTGGATAACAACATTCAATTCATTTCAAATTGTTCTTTTTTTAAAAAGTGTTTTGAATCATTCTTTTATATGAATGGCACTGTATGAACGTACGTTGTTATATTTTGGGCAAAGGATTTCTGAGTGGATATTAACAAGTTATTAGGATTAATCCTGGATTTAACAATCAGTATTATGGTACGTCAGCTAGGACAATACATTTGGTTCAGTTTTATTCTGATAATGAGACATGTACTCCAATTGTAAGTTTTGCTCTTTTTGGTAGCATGTGCAGAAACCCATCACCATGCTGAAGAGTATCTAAACAAGCTTGAGAGTTCCACATATGTAAGCTACATATAGTTGGAAACTTCCCTGTGTCTGGAATGGAATACGCACTCTCGCCCTGGAGGGACACACCTTGCTAACTTACTCCAGAGATACTATGCACAGGTTGGCAAGAGCCAAGGTTTAGGGTATATGTTGCAGTACTGCTGGAATTTAATCAGCTAAAATTGAGAGCATTGTCTAGCGACTGCTCATACAATGAGGACTATCCTCCCCTTTAGAATCTCTGCTCCAGTGATCCTTCAAGTGCTATTGATGAGCCATCAGTCTGGGTGGGTCTTGATTACTGTGGATCAGGCTGTCTCAGGAATCAGACTACCAAGACTGCCAGAGAGGATTGACTCGATTCTGACATTCCATTGCCAAACACGTCATTTTAGAGCCAGCTCATCTCCAAAGGGATGCTGCTTCCATCCCTGTCAAGGGAGACAATTGCTAGTGGATCATTTGCACCCAGCAAATGCAGGTCTGAGCCCTCACTAGGTAGATGGCTGATATCAGGAACTTCCTGCGAATTCCCTCAGTCTTCTCACCATAGATTTGGTCGCCATTTTTTTATTTAAAAAAATTAGTGACAGCCACAATTGTGATTCCAAGCCTAAAGGGTGGCATTTTAACTTTAAAATTTTACTCATAAAATTACTTTTAGACCAGCACAGGAAACCCTGTGTAACACGATTGGCTGGATCCAATGTTTCATAAGCAGTGTCATTGTTCATATTTAACTGAGTTAACTCTTCCATCTTTGGGCTGAGACGTTAAAACAAAGAAAAAATGGCCAACTTCCAGGTTGTGAGGTCACTGCTGACATCACTTCCTGAGCACTGCATGCATGCGATGCCCATGGAGTGCAGCTGACATCACTTCCTGACTGCTGTTGGGCATGAAGTCCCACCAATGCCACTTTCTTTGCAAAGTCATGTCAGCAGCAATCCGATGACCCGAGAGACAGACATTTATGAGTGTTGTAAGCCACGTACCGAGCTTCTGGTTAGAACATATGAACAGAAGAATCAGGAGCAGGAGTAGGCCATTCGGCCCCTCTAATCTGCCCCGCCATTCAATAAGATCATGGCTGATCTATTCTAACTCCACCTACCCGCCTTATCCCTATATCCCTTAATCCCTTTAGTGCAGGTCCAGTCTCCTGTATTGGGCAAATCAACATGAAGTGTTCATTCTCTATTGCTTAGTTTGGGTCAAATCAAATGTCTAATGAGATGGGCGATTCATTTAGAATTACAATATTGTAAAACATTGTGCATGCTACTAAAACATGTATTAATTACCATAAATAGTTTTCATTGTTCTCATTGTGTGTCAGCCTGGCTCAGTGGTAGCACTCTCACCTCTGAGTCAGAAGGTTCTGGGTTCAAGCCCCATGTTGGGTCTTGAACTCATAGAGTGAATCTAGATGACAAATCCAATGCAGTGCTAGGAGTCTGTTGCATTGTTGGAAGTGCTGTCCTTTGGATGATATGTTAAACCGACGTCCCGTTTGCTTCAGTTCCCACGGTACTGCTCGAAAAGAGAAGGCAGTTTCTCCCGGTCTCCTGGCTAAAATTTGGTCACTCACTTCATGGCTGTTTGCGGGACATTGCTGTGCGCAAATTGGATGCCGCATTTGCCCACAAATACACAGTCACTCCATTGCACAGTAAATCCTGTGCAGTGCTTTAAGACGTCCTCCTGACATGATAAGGCACTGCACCACATGCCAGGATTATTATTATTATAAAATCCTATTAATTTATCTTCATTATGAAATATGTCCCTTATATTCTCTACTAATCATCATTGTCTAAATATAACAGATTATAGGAATTTAATATTTTTAAATTAAAATTTGCTTAAGCATTGAGAGAATAGAATTTAAAATGTTAAAGAAATACTTTGAAACCATATATTTATATTTAACACTGCTGGTCAAATCTTCACATGATGTGCAGTACACTCAAAGAGCTACAATGGTTCCTAGAGTGAATCTAGTGTTAAATTTGCTGTTTTTAAATTTAGTGTAATTGTTCCATGCAATTTATGTTGGATGTTCAATTGCATAAAATTCATGGTTTTCATTCAACTGCAATAAAAGAATGAATGAGGAGCAATCAACCAACCTTTGTAGTTGGATAGAAGGCAGCTTTCACAAGACACATCATGTCAGTACAAGGGAAGAAAACAGAGCAATTGATGTTTGGACTCACTTTCAAAAGCCAGATTTATGATTCCTTGGGGTCTGCTGTCCTCATCACTGACAATGTGACTGCAGACCAAGGGAGACTTCCTTAGCTGCTCAAGCTTGTCCTGAATGTAACGAAAGCTGGGTCTTTTCTTTGGCTCTCTGTGCCAGCATTTTAACATCAAGGAATATCTGAAACAAAATGAAAACCAACACCAATTTCAGACACCTCAAACACTTACAACATTGTGTGAACCACCACAAAGTATAGCACTATAGCTTGCAATGCAACAAGATTAAATGGCTGTTATTTTAGAATGGATTTACTGAGAGCGGAATTGTTTTTTAACACCTGACACGCAGAATCAACTCTAAAAACTAGTAAACAAACAATCTCTCGCTCAGTAAGGTGATCTCTTTCGCTTCCTGCTCCTAGAATACCTAAGAGCTGAAAGTCATCCACCCTTGCCATTAAGGCCGAGCCCCAGGCTTATATGTACAGAACTGTATGGAGGATGCTCACAGTGTGGCTAATGATGCAGAACACTAACTACCTGAAAAAGCACATTCAGCAAAGGGAGGAAACAGTCCTGTAAAAGAAGATAGTGAAGGGATGATGGGTTGCTGATTTGTGAGGTGTGAGGTTAAGGTGTGCTGAGAGCAATTGTCAAGACTCTCCATTTCCATGTCAGTAAAGAGCTAGGATTGACAGATGTGAATACAATGGCAAAGTGATTGATGCAGCATACATTCCTCTGGTCAGTTTACATCACTCAGTATGCCAACGTTTTATGTTAAAATGTGCAGGTATGATGCAGGTAAAATCAAAGTGAATTCCACCTTGAATTTAAAATTGTGGTCGAGTTAAATATTGCAAACAATACTTCTAAATAAACTCCATGTACAACAGATACATACATAATGTATATATAATAATAATAATAATAATCCTTGCATTTGATATAGCGCTTTTCACGTCGGGAGGACGTCCCAAAGCGCTTCACAGAATATACTGTAAAGTGAGTTGACTGTATATTTGTGGGCGAACGCGGCAGCCAATTGCGCACAGCAATGTCCCACAAACAGTTATAGATTGAAAATGACCAATTTAATTATTGTTTTTTTTTGGAGGGATTATTATTAGGCTCTGTGTGGAGTAAGGAAACTTGCCCAAGGTTTCGCCCTCTGCCTGGAATTGAACTCGGGTCTCTCGCTTGCAAAGCGAGTTTATATGTATATATAAAACATACAATCATGTTTCATTTATGTTTTAAGAGAGCTAGATGTTTAAACTATGCCTTAATTAAATTTTGAATTATTGGTTTATAAATGTAGTCCATGATTTCTGGGAAAGAGACTTTTACTGTGCTTCCAAGAGGCCAGAGTCAAGATATACCCCTACTCAATTGTTAATAAGCACATATTCCAATGCAATTTCACACATACACACACACATACAAACCACCACTCATTAGATGGCTTACTGGATACTTACCATTGTATCCATCAAAAAAACAACAACAAATTTACATAGCATCTTTCAGGAGGATGATCCAAGGCACTGATATCCCAGAAATATGATTATAAGTCATTTATTCAGTTTGAATAAGGGAAATTGCTTACCCAGGTTGAAACTTCATATATGGAGATCTAACTATATTCTTGGCCTACATCAGGAATCCGACTACACAAAGTCAGTTTTCTGATTTCTTCCCCACTGGCAAGTGGCTGGCGGACTGAAAGAAGGGGCTGTGGGAATTGGAGGCTAGGAGCAGCAGAGATGAGTTTAGGTAAGTGCTTAAGGGTGGAGTCACTAAAGGAATTAGGAAGAAAGTTGTGTGTATTCCTCAACCCATTTCTTGTGGTAGTTACATTTTCCCCCTACATCTTAACCATTATGATGGGGAGCATCGAACAGGGAGAAAGGAGAGTTAATACTCTGTGTTAGTCATCGCTGGACTGAAGTTCTGCATAACCGCCCAGTAGACCATTACCAAGGATCTTTAAAAATTGTTTATAAACTACATCTAATGTTGTGGTTCCAGACGTCAGAATGGTGGAAACATTATGTCAGGTCAACGTAAATAACATTCCACATATCTAGAAGATAAACTTGACCTATTGTGTGTTTGCAGAATCATTTGTTTTGTGGACAGATTCCCTCTGAAATTGAAATATCCTAATAGAATCCAATCCATCTCTGTGAAATGAAGCAAAACAGCACAATTTGGTTCATATTTCATACTTGCTTTGAACCCATTTCTATTAAACTTTATTATTTTAAAACAAGCTGAAGAAAGATTTGCTATAATTGGATGAATGCAAAGGAAATTCGAATTTTGAAATCTCGGAATCTGATACTTCCAATTGTAAAATGATACTCCCTAAACCACTTAAAACAACACTGTCCAACCCAATAGCCACGGGCCACATGAATGCCAGCGTTCGAGATGTATTGACGTAAGAAGGCGACAGAAGATCCATTTCAGTCCCGCAAGTTGAAACGCAAGTTGATTCATCAATGTGGAAGTGGCCACATCTGAAAAGCAAAATGGCCATAACTGGCAGTGGCCACTGGTTGGACAGCATTAACTTACAACATAAGAAAGCAGAGAATCAGAAATGCCAATTGCTCCATCAAGGCTATTCTTTCCATGAACATGCACAATCCACTCTGCTGTGAGCTCCAATTCACCATTCTGGCTTTGAAGGAAGGTTCCGCATATACTTATCCTAATTGCCAATGGTAACAAGCAGAAATTCCTTAGAGAAAAATATGTGTCAGCCTGGCTCAGTTGGTAGCACTCTCACCTCTGAGTCAGAAGGTTGTGGTTCCAAGGGCTACATCAGAGGCTTTGAACTCATAGACTGTTACTCCCTCCATAGTTAATATTTGTAACATTCAAACTGGCAATCCACTGTAATGCTGGGGAAAGCATTGACATTAAACCAAAGTCATTGTCATGTTCAGGTGAAGAAAAGATTAAAGAAAAGATTCCAAGGCACGATTCAGAGAAGGGAGGCTAACAATCTTCCAGATAAAATTGGACATCCATTCCACGGCTGTTTGTGGGACATTGCTGTGCACATGTATCTGGGTTCTGCTTGTAAAATTTGGCTTCACTTTTTATGGTTCAGCCAGCAAAACCACTATTCTTTCTAGCTCGCAAATTAGGGATTATGTCAATCTCAATAAAGTTTTAATTAATTTTTTCTTTGCTGCTTTGCAAGAAGCATTTAAAAGCATATGTCAAGTAATGTTCTAAACTCTAATAACAATGAAGGGTTTTGATGAAAGGGTAGTGGGGAGTCATGAAGGTTATGAACGCAGCAAAGCAAAATCATGTTGTTGATGCCTGAAAAATTCTGAAAGGGACAAGTGTTGCTAATAAGTCTCCCAGTTACATATCATGTTAATTACAGAACAGAACTGAATTAAATCTATAAATATGTAGAGGTAATCAGCCAGTCATTGCTGTAGATTGCATAAGAGTTGCATACAGTTTCGTTCTCCACCCTGCTATAGCCTGCAGCTTTGTGTCTATTTAGATCAGTTCTTACAACCCTACCATTTCAGCATTGGACATCCATATGGATTTGTCCCAACTAGAGCCAATTCCATCACCGTACCAAGTCTTCAGCAATAAATCACACAATGTTCTGCTCATTGAAATCTTCTCACCATAAGTCACCGCGCTACCTCATGCAGGCCATACCTCCTTATGGTCACTCTGTCCATAGATGATACATACCATTTATTATTCAGATACAACCAATACATCCCAAAAGCATCTAGCTTCTGCTTGCATGCTTTACCAAAATCTATTGTTTAGCAACATAAAGAAGTGCTAACTGGGCCTGAGCCTGCTTTTATGTCAATGATATATCTCTCATCCTCCAATTGGTCATCAGAATTTATCAAAAACTTTTGTCACATTCCCCCTTTGCTAAGGGCACAACTTCTCAAGTTCCATCTCTCCACCATTTGTATCACTTTTTGTTCAGAGAGTCTAAAACATGATGTGTGCAAAGAGCAACTCCTGCTGATAACCTGAAGTCCATTCATGGCAACCCAAGGGAAATCTGCTCCAACAGATTCTTCTTCCAGAGCAGTTTCCATGTGTTAGTCTGCTGATGTACCTCTGGTTATCTATAGGAGTTGCTTTCAAATTGTGTTCCAAATATATCATTTTAGATTCCACTGTTAGAAAAACAGCTTATTGCAGATTACCCAGGACTCACTAAGCACAGCAAGTTTTCATTTCTTCCAGACTTTTTATCATGACACATGACTTAGCACATCATACTTAGCGACACGTGCAAATTTAGTCTATTAATTAAACATTGAAATTCAGCAATGAAATAATGCTTTCACACCACAGTGTAAGTCAAGTTGTATTTAGTGTTTAACTAGGTACTGGTATCAGCACTTAATGGGGCATATGATTTCTACATTCAGAATAGAAATGTAACAGTAGTATTATGATAAGCAAAGTCCTGCCCGAAGCAATGTGCACTGTGGCTTCCAGTTTACCATACATGGTCTGTTAAAGATTAGAGCACATCAATCAAACTTTTCCAAAACAATTTTGAATGCAAATAATATAAAATATTTCAAGTGCTATGTAATGTGTAATAACAATTCCAGGCTGCCTTAGAACTAAACTTTTCGTACCTCAGTGATTGGATTGGTTTTAAGAAATTGTTCAATGCATAAGTAAGCATAAAGAATCAGGTTGTATTTGATGCCAACACAGGGTATACAAAAGAAAGTGTTCATTTTCCATCACTAACATCATTTACACCAGTTCTCTATCTCCTCTCTATTTAAATCTCTGAGGAAATGTTCTTTTCTGACAGCAGTGTCCCACAAACAGTCATGGATTGAAATTACCAATTTTTTTTTGAGGGATTTATTATCAGGCATGTGGAGTAAGAAAATTTGCCGAAGGTTTCACCCTGCTGGGAATTGAACCCAGGTTCATATTCTTAGCTTCCCCTCCCTGTTTCCCTGGGGTGTCCACACATTTTGCTCTTCTCCAGGAAAGGAATCTGTAAGCTACTTTGTCATCGCTATATTTTTAACCTCTTAAATTGACCAAAGTGTTCTCAAACAGTCTGCAAACTTAGAAATACAAAATAAGAGGATGGTAACGCAATAGATTAGGAGAAGAAATGGAAGAGCAAAATAA